GGCGGGTGGGGGGGGGAGGGGGGGGGGGGGGGGGGATACTAAAGAACCTTAGGCTAAAACCAGGATTGGGCTAGCTCTAATATCAAATGATACTGAAGTTAACACAAACCACAACTCAAACGAATATATTTACTATTGTCTTTAAAATGATTACAAGAACGACTCAGACATATAACACCACAACATATATACCAACAAATAATAAGATGAGTGTAAAAATAAATAAACAAAGGAAGCAACAAAAGACATAAACAACCCATTCGAATGGGATGCGTATATTCAGTCGGTGGAGGGAGCTGTCAGAGTGACGTCGTGAGATTGACGACTTAGCTCAAGGTGCTTAACATAAGCTCGATGGCCTGCTGGGAAGGGGTCCTGGAAGTGGTCGATCGTTGGAAGTGTCGGGGAGTGAACCCGGGAGCTATTGGAAAGCTATAGGGGTGGTGGTCTGCTAGAGGATGTAGGGGTGACCGACAGGGAGGGAGACCGACATTGGAAGATGATCAGTGAGATGGCGGTGCCTCGTGAACAATTGTGGCGGCCGTTGAAAGGAAGCGACTAAGCCTGCAATCAACTGGACAAACAAAGTGGTTGGATGGTCGACGAGCAAGGCTGCAGGACATCACCAACTAGTTGTGAGACACTGACATGGATGAGAAATTGGTGATGGAGGTGACTAATGGGACTTACGATCATAACCTGGACAATTTGGGACATGGAATGACAACATGATGGAGTATAGTGAATGGATATAGTCACCTCCTTGGGCGAGGTACAACTAAAGCATCGCTCGTCGTCAAATACAACTCTCAGAGAAGAACACCTTAGAGGCTCAACTGAAATAAAAGAGACAAAACTAGCTAGTATTCAACAAGCAACATATATAAATAGGCGATAAATTGAGGACGGACAAGGTAAGTATGAGAATAGGCAGGAAATTGGGCACGCCACCCCCTCCCCCCATTAGAAGGGAGCTTGAATCGATCTTCTGCTCGAGCAGATCAACACCCAAGAGTCCTACATCAATTATAATCAACTATAAAATGTGTATATCTATTATTCAATTTAGGAGGTGTTTGAGAGCATAGTTTTAATAGGGAATATGAATTTAGCGTAAATCCAACCAAACATTGAAAAAAATGAAAAATAAATCCATCGCACGGTTAAATTTATTTTTTCCAGCTTTGATCTTTTTTAGATATAAATGCAAATATGGTAAGTTCGATTGGGATGTGGATTAATAATTTATTATGTCATGACCATCTCCATCAATATAAATATGGATTTATTGAATTTATTATATTCTAGTTAATGTAAATAAGCATTGCACCCAAATAAGCCCCTAAATTTTTTGGATTGCACTTAATTGCTTATGCTATAGATAAATTCTCAAATGTTAAATTAATTTGTATAACATTTATTATTATTCAAATATGATTAAAAAATTTTTCAAACAATTTTGAATCATATTGGAACATGTTGTTTTTAATCACATTTGAAGTTCATTTGAATTAACTTCCTAATTAAAAATTGTGAAGAAGCAATCCACAATCAAGAATAGAAATATTATAAATGAAGATGTAAATACACACAACAAAAAATAAGAACAAGGTATCCTAAGCTGGAGGCAAGAGACTGTTGTTCTTGGACGCGCTCAGACTGAGCTATCCTGTTAAAGTGTAATTTATTCCAAGAAAAGCTAGGGTTGGAGCTCCATTCGCAGTGTCTGAGCTCTCCTCACCAACACCGCGGATTCGCCGAGAAAGTTCGAAATAGAAAGTGGATCAAGTGCGCCTTGAGTGTGTGGGAGAGATTTGACTTGGAGCTTGGTTCACTGGAGAAGGAGAAGTTCGACGGCGGCAGTAATCGATGGCGAAGACGAAGCCGGGGAAGAAGGACCTCGATTCCTACACCATCAAGGGAACGAACAAGATCGTGCGCCGTATGTATCGGTCCTACCCTTCCCTTGTCCACCTCTGTTCTATTGTATCGAGATGATGGATTCTATGCTTTTCTGTTCTTGGATGGTGATGATGGATGTTTCTGCAGCGGGCGATTGCGTGTTGATGAGGCCTTCCGACTCTGACAAGCCTCCGTACGTGGCGCGAGTGGAGAAGATCGAGGCGGATCACCGTAACAACGTGAAGGTGAAGGTTCGATGGTATTACCGACCAGAAGAGTCGATCGGCGGTCGACGACAGTTCCACGGGGCAAAGGAGCTTTTTCTGTCCGATCATTATGATGTCCAGAGCGCACACACTATCGAGGGAAAATGCGTTGTTCACTCCTTCAAGAACTACACTAAGCTCGAGAATGTTGGGGCAGAGGACTACTTCTGCCGCTTTGAGTACAAGGCCTCCACCGGTGGTTTCACTCCTGACCGTGTCGCCGTGTAACTTCTTTCGCTGATTTTTTCTTTCAAGCTACCTTTACCTCGTTTGTTTTGGTGTTATGAAAAATGGTAATGGTTCTGACTTTGTCCAACTGTATTTGAAGGTATTGCAAGTGCGAGATGCCTTATAATCCGGACGACCTCATGGTGCAGTGTGAAGCATGCAAGGACTGGTAAGTGGGGTCAGATTCACTGGAAATTATTTAGGTGCGCAGGACGGTCACAAAATTGTGTTTATCGTCCAAACATCACACAAACTTTTACACCTCTTAAGTTGTCTACTCCTGGTGCATTTTATATTGAACGGTGAAGTTTCGGATATGTTGTCCACACCTAATAATTTCTCCAAACTTATGTTCTGATTTTTAGTGAATGAGTGGAAGCTCTAGTACATGATTGTGGTCGTAGGTAAGTTTGACGAAGCTTTTCATAAATTGGCAGCACAGTCAGTCCGATGTGCCTTTATGGGGTACAGTCCTAATCATAAAGGTTTTGTGTGTTATGATTCGATTAATAGTCGATGACATATTTCTCATGTGATGATTTTCTTTGAACATGAATATTACTTTCAACATCATATGTCCACAGCTTTTAAGTTCTTTGATGTATGCTTGGGGAGTGTGTTTGCTATAGTCTTTTCCATATTTATTTTGATGGTCTCCTTGTGATGAGTTTTTGAATATTAACAGAAGTATTGCATCTTGATATAATCTTATGATCGTTGACCTTTCTGTTGTTGATTTTTTTTGCTTGGTTTTAGCGATTGTTTTTCTCTTCTTTTATGCTCAAAGCATTTATTATCTAGCTTATATTCACTATTTTGACCATCAAATATGTGGCAAATTGAAATTAGAGTAAGTTGTGGTATATCTAGGTTGGCGTGGTCTATAGTTCAATGGGGAGGGGACTAAGTTGACGCCAATTGGAGTATTTCCTAGCGAACAAATCATCCCTTTGTGCCAAAGCTACTCCAAGTTTGAGTTGCTTGAAATCACAAAATTGTGGAAGAGCAAAAAAAAAAAAAAAGAGAAAAAGAACCTCATGAGGGAATAACATCAATACAAATTATTTCCTCTCATACTTTCTTCTCTTCCACTTTTCGTACTTACACTCTCCCCTCCTTACTCTCTTTCATTATACTTTCTTTCACTCTTCACCCCTCTCCCATTCTAATTTTTTCTTCGATCTTTGAGACGCCAACTTTTCCTCTCATCTCATCCCCTCTCCTCTTCTTTCATTAGTTTATCATATAAAAAAATTGAAAATATAATCCCTCTTAATATTTTCTTTTTTTGTTGCGGGTGGGTAGAAAGGTGTCCTGATGTTAAGAGGAGAGCAAAGCGTTGCAAAATTGGCAGCGTATGACTCATGGCACGATTTTCTCCTAAAAGTGAAGCAGATCACCATCTTCGAACTTGACTTTGATTGTGTCAACCATTTTCTTACATGGTAGTCATTTTACTCCCTTACAAAACTAAGGTTGACAAATACCGTCCATACACATATTTGGGTGGCGGTGATTCCTCCTTGAAATTTTTTTGTTATTTTCACATTTTTTGATCTTATAAAAGAAGTCCATACGTGCATTTCTTTGCAGATTGGCAGATTATATATACCTTTCGTAGCATGGTGGGTGGTGCTTGACTTAAAAATCATGTATAAATTTTTTTGGCATGATGGTGAGGTTTTCATGATCTTTATTTTTGACTAGAGTTTTTCAAGGCCTATTTACTTTGTTCTTGTTGTGACGGGAGGCTCAATTTCGGTTGTCGTTGCGTCCCACACTCCTTTTGACTAACTTTCTGCTCTTTTGATCTTTCTCAAAATTTTTGTCAAAATTCAATACCAAGACTAAGCTTCTCTTATTTTGGCATCGGCGCTTAGTGTGGCTAGGATGATATTTATGAGAAAATTTGTATGGATTAAAATGAAAAAAAAATGATAAAGAAAGCACAAAGAAATGCATTTAAGGCGACTTAAAAAAGACAACATTTTAACACAACAAACTCTCATTAATTTTGCTTGCAATTAAATAGAATATGGTTGATTCATACACAAATTTGAGAGAGACTATTCAGACAATTGACTTAGGATGTTCGAAAGTGACAAATCTTCACTCTCATTGGATCATATTGGGGAGGTTTAGAGTGAGGCTCCAAGACTTTTCTTATCTGTAAAAAAAAATATAAAAAAAAAGCAAAGGAAAAATATCCTAAAATTACAGAAGTTTCAAGGAAAGCAAAAAATATCAAAAAAAAAAAAAAAAAAAAAAGATAGAAAAAAAAAAAGAGAAAATGAAGGAAAAATTAAGGAAATTTAAAAATTTAGAAAAATCTGATGATTATAGAAATTTTATTTAGTTATTTTTTTCTGGATTGTTTCAAAGTACGTGATCGCCATATTTTATCTAGAATTGATGATGTAAATATCAGAGTTTAACAAAATTTAAAATGTTGCGTGTAAATACTAGGCTTGTTCTACTCCATCCAAACCCATAGTTGACAAGACTCAAGACTTGTGGCTTGATAGCTCTCTAAGTTAGACAAAACCTTCCCTTCAACCTTGTTGAGAAGATTTTTTTTAACAAGGGGTTAGAACAACCCAATCTATCACTGCTGGTTTTGATGATGTAAGTTGGGCTTATAGTTCAATGGAAAAAGTTTACTTACAAAAAATAGATTTGAGCAATTATGTTGATTATGATTGAGCCAATATGGCTCCTACTGCGGAAGGTTGCAAGGAAACATGCCAAAGCTCCTAAATCACATAAATAAACCTAACACTTTGGCTTGCATCCAAAGTTCTATGGTGGCACGGTAAGCTTGTTGAGATGAAACCTTAGGATCTGCCAAACACAAATTCTACTTCAACTTCTATGTCGATCTAATTTCAACATGTATGCCAACGATGGGTGATATTATTATAAGTCACAATTGATGGAGTCCATTTATGTGTAGAAATGTTCCAATTTAAATACATAATTTAGGGCCCTCTTCTTTTTTTAAAATCATCAGAGAGATGGGTCCATTACCTTCAAATTCGAAGATTAGTACTCACTAACGTACAAGCGCTCCCCATGAGGATGGACTCCATTATTGAAGATCATAATCGAATGGGTTCCCCAGTATTATTTATGGCATCAAATGTTTCCCTCCATCTCTAACGTACAAGCGCTCACAAATACAAAAGTCCTTGAACATTAAAAAAAAAATTCTCCATGGATTAACCATAAATATTTTGTGCATTTACCAATTGATGATCAACATCCAAATACAAGATCAAATTCACCTTAAATCAATATATCTATTCTCAGGGGATAAATTTCTTAATGATGATAGTAGCAAGAGAGTAATTTCAACTGAGAGGAGTACCATCCATTCATCCATCATGAATGTCCATTTGTTTAGTTTGAATGGTGTGATTTACGAATTGGCTCAACCAATTGGTTTTGCTTATAAACTTTAGCAAACTGAACCGACTAAATTATGTTTCAGATTGAACTAAATTGAGCCGAACTTTAATTTGTTTAGTTTAGTTTGGTTTCAGAGGACTATTAAGAAGGTTATTTAACACTCTTTGCTATAATTATAAATTTTAGCATGCAAATAAATAAATTTACGTTGATATTTTTGTCACATGTTTATTTACTGTTCATTGACTTTATTTGTTTTGATATTTGAAAAAATATTTGTTTGATCATTTATAAAAACAAAAAAATCGTACCAATAACAGAAAATTAAAGAGAGTAAAAATCACAACATATTTACACTTGAACCAAATAAAACCTATAATATTAGTTTATTGATATTTTTTGCTTTTTTTCAACATCGCACACCACTAGCCTCCATAGACCTTTGTAAAGAACATAATACCTGATAACAAAATAGCCCTCACCCTCCCATCTCTTAACCGCCAAAACACAGTAAAAAAAAGGGAAAATGAAAAAAAAAAAGACAAAAAATGCATGTCGCTTTTAATGATGGGCACAATATACACAATTCTCAACTAGAAGGGCCATCCACATCTATTGTTGATTCTCCATTAATCTTTTCACCACAAAAAAAAAATAAAAAAATGTATGTAAATAGAAAATAAAAGCATTAGAATAAATAATTAATTAGTCGATGTTTATTTCTCATCAAGCTTGCCAATGACTGCCAATGCAAAACTTAATTGAACTAATGTCATATTAGTTTAACTCATATGAACACACTAAGAATTCTCGCATTAGTAAAGGCATGTCACACTTTCTTATTGAGTTGTTAGCCTGATTGCATTGGAATTGTTGTATTATGGTTACAGTCGTAGCTTGAATTTCTTTAAGTGTTAATTCCATGCATTGTGGCCTGTAGATGCACTCTTTTAGTTGAGGTTTGCTGTTAGTTTTCCCCCCTTATGTAAATTTCAAAGTTTGTAGTAAAGATTGCTCGATATGTGAATTGATATGAATAAATTAGAATAATTTTTTTTTTGATAATTGGACTACTAGTTTATTTTTTTAAGTTAGCTTTTACTGTTTAATATTGCATTTTCTTTCTTTTAAAACATGGCTAGGGTGGTACTCTATAAATTCTCCGAGAATATGTATAAATGGGGAAGCTATAGCTGTTTTTTAATAGTTTGCTCGTTTTAAGCTCACCGGCTTTACGTTTGCCTTGTGGCTGTGAGTTAAAGTGGCCGTTGTTGAGAATTTCTTTGGTGTCGACACTGTCTGCAGAAGAGGATTACAGTGTTTAGAGATAGAATTTGACCGGTTTGAAATTTGAGCTGAAGGCCCTTTTTTTTTTTGAGTTTTGTGGCATATTATCCACGCTGAGTAGCAAATCCAGTGGTTTCAATTGAGTACAGCTAATACTTAACAGTGCCTTCGTTAATTACATTTTTTCTAAATGGAGTGCAGCCATTACAAGTCTTTAGCGGGAGAGATTGTTATTTTGGGGATAAATATTCCGTGGTTTTCTTCCTGGAATCACCGGTTTGAACAGGTCTCATGGAAAGTAGATGTTGCAGCTCATCTAGATCCGGTGATAGGAGTGGAAATTTGATCATTAGCCTCCTGTTGGACCTTCTGTTTTTTGTTAAAGGGATTTTATCTTATTATTACTATGAGTTATTTAGGCATGTAAATATTGTCATTTGCTTGATGATTTTTTTTTTTTATCGTCGCATTAGT